GGGAGAGGATAAGAATCCATTGGGCATGCCTTGTTGAGGTCTGTGTAGTCTACGCACATCCTCCAGGTATCACCCTTTGGAGCCAGGACTACATTGGCCAGCCATTCAGGGTAGTTTACTTCCCTGATATGACCTACCTCAAGTAGGTCCTTAACCTCCTTCTTTACAAAATCTCTCCTATCACTTGCCAAAAATCTCTTCTTCTGTCTTACAGGCCTAGACCCCTCAAGAACAGAGAGACGATGGCAAATGACTGACCGGTCAATTCCGGGCATATCAGCAACACTCCAGGCAAACAAAGATTTATACCTGGTCAGCACCTGGACAACCTCAGTCCTTAACTCCTCCTGAAGATCAGCCCCAATCTTGACCTTCCTCTCAGGATTGGATGCATCAATCTGGATCTCCTCCGTGTTTGCATCCGGCTCGATTCTAGCCTTCTCCTCTCCCTTGTCTACTTGCTGGGAGACCAATTCAATTTGTTCGAATTGGCGGGTCATTTTCTTGACTGCTTCCAGGTAGCAGGACCGGGCATTCTTTTGATCACCCCTTTCCTTCCCGATTCCATTGGGAGTGTAGAATTTCATGCACAAGTGTGCCATAGAAATGATGGCCCTGACCTGGTTGATTCCAGGTCTACCAAGAATGGCATTATGTACACACTTGATATCAACCACAACAAATCTCATTTGCTTGGTTAATGTTTTGTTACCCGACCCCAAGGTAACCGGTAAGGTGATCTGACCTTCCGCTTCTATGCTAGCTCCAGTGAAGCCTGACAATGGAGTTTGCAACGGTCTCAACATGGACCTGTCCAGCTTCAATTTCTTGAAAGCATCAGAGTATAGAACATTGACACTGCTTCCTGTGTCAACCAGGACCCTGGCCACATCAGCTCCATTGATATCCATTGTAATAACCAAAGGGTCATTATGATCTCCCCCCGTCTTAGGCAGATCCCTATCAGTGAAAGTGATAGGTTCCCTTCTTGCCTGCTTCCCTTGTGATTCCAGGGAAACCACCGCTACGTGCAAGCTCCTGGCCCAATTCTTCCGCTGGGAGGCTGTGTCCCCGCATTCTGGGCCGCCTACAATCATCTCGATGAATTCTTTATCCGGCTTGTTCGCTTTCTGATCTTTATTCCCCGCTGCATAACCTTCCCCCAGCTCTCCGTTCAAGGCCATCTCCTTGAGCACGGCCTTGACATTTCGGCAGTCCGCCGTGTTGTGGGAATCGGATTGGTGGTATGTGCACCACTTCTCCGTCCATGGTCTCTTGGGTTGCTCTCCCTTCTTATCATCCCTTATTTGGTGGATGGACCCGTCATATGTGGCCTTTGGCTTGGACCTCCCGTCTGGTCATCCTTCTTCGGCTTGTCAGGTTTCACCTTTGTGTAGCCTTCTTCCAGCTCCCGCTTGCTTTTGTTCAGGACTTCCGCCTCGGCATACTCCCATGCCGTATTGTAGGCTTCCTGATAAGAGGAGGGTGGCCTTCTACAGAATTCAGTGTAGAGGTCACCTGACCGGAAGGCATTCATCAGTAAAGACATAGCCGTCTTATCATCTATCTCTTCTACCTTGTCAACCTCGTCCCTCCAGCGGGTTAAGAATTGAGTCAAGGACTCCTTCTCCCTTTGCCCTACCGTGTTAAGGTAGGTGAACTTCTTCCTCTTGATGCAGTTGTCTTGGTACTTCTTGCGGAAAACTTCAGCAAGTTTCTCAAAGGACCCAATCTTTCCATGGGGAAGGCCGTTAAACCATTCCACTAGTCTCCCTCTCAAGGATGAGAAGAAGAGCAAGCATTCCTCAGCATCAGTGCACCCGGCCATCTGTGCTGCATTGTGGAAGGTGTCAAGGTGGATATTTGGATCCTCCTTTCCAGTGAATTTCTCCACGTCTAGCTTGACCTTCCGCCTCAATTTTTGTGCATGTACCCTGGCTGAAAAGGGTGATTTGGCCAGGGTGTGCTTCTTTGCTCCCGCCTTCTCGTCCACCTTTTCTTCCAGGGCACGTAGCTTTCTTGCTACGCTTCCTATCTTGTCCAGGTCATCTTCATCATATGAGAGCCTGGTATATGCCGATGCCCTGGGTTGGCTTTCAGCTTCCTCCTCGTCTAGGTGAATCGTCTCAGATTCCCTAGAACGACGAGATTGGGCGGGACGATTCCCTCCAAGTCTTTCCATTGCGCTAGTCCGGCCCATCTCAGGACCAAGACGTAGCTTGGCAGACTTGCGGGGCCCATCCTCTTTGTCCCCTAGGCGTTTGAACGCCGAATCTCGGGTCTTGCTGGGTTTGGCTATAGCCTTACCCTTCCTCCTGCGGGCCGCCTCTTGCTCCGCTTCATCGACCTCATGGACATTTGAGGGTGCTGCTTCATTCATGGTCCCCGTCAGATTCACCGGGCGTATAGGGACCATCCTAGGGACAAATGTCGACGGAGTCGACATCGGAGGTGGCATGATTGGCGGCGTCATACCAGGATAGGCAAATGGCATGAAGCCCCCTGCCTGTTGCATCATGGCCATCACCTGTTGATAGCCCTGTAGAGCCTGAGCATTTGCCGGGTCAGCAGCAAACTGAGCCCAAGCTGACGGGTATGGTGTGAATGCTCCACCAGGAGTTGTTATCGAGCCTGGGAACATTGTTGTTGTTGGAGCAGGAGTAGGGGTTGACATGATTGGGATCATGCCAACTGATCCTACCATGGTGATCGGGGCAAAGGTCGTCCCCATGCCTGGCATCATCAATGGGATGGCAGGAGTGCTTTCACTCGCAGCCTGGCTTGACACAGTGTTGTGGTTGCTTGAAGACATGATTGTGGATATTTAGTGGGGTTAAAGTTTTGACCTGGTCGAAAAAACTTTAAAAATCGGTCCCACGGTCGGCGCCAAAAATGATGGTGTAAATATAGATGGGTGGGTTGACCGGGTTCAACTAGACACTTGACCCGTAATATAAAACACGCAACAAGAACACAAATTATGACCTAGACCGGGTAAATCTCCTCAGTCCGAAATATATTTCTTACTCTATCTCAAGAGTGTACTAGTTTTTAGTGAGAGAAAGAATTGGCTCCCCTCCTCTATCCAATATCATCATATTTATAGAGGAGGATTTGTGATCTTCCCCTGTTCATCCATGGACAAAATGGGAAACCCGGAGGAAGGTCACTGTACATAATCAATTTACTATTCAATCAATGAATATAGCAACTACAAGCCAAGACATGCATTGTTCAATCAAAGACTAACATGGATATTCTCAATCCAATCAATCCTGCAAAACGCCAATCATTCCCTTCACTGTTTGCCTCGTGATGGATGAGCGGCGGGGTGTCCTCTAGCCTCTGATGTTGATTGCCCTTCTCAAGTAGCGCAACATGACCGGTCACCTTTCCCCAAAGGTTACCCGGTCATTTCTTGAGTTCAACCCATCTCTTTGGTCCTCTGGAATATCCTTCGCAACATTAAGTGGCGAAATGGCTATCGCCCAAAATGTGACCGGTCACTTTTTTAGTGGAAGTGACCGGTCAATTTTTGACTCTTCCCAATCGAAGAGTTAACATCATTTGGTGACTTGATAAAAGTGACCGGTCATGTTTTGACCTGTCCCTTTCGGTTATCCGGGTCGGGTATAAGGATATACCCATCAATAGGAGTGGGTTGGTGGGTGGGGGGCCTCTGAAATTTGTGGCACAAAATTAGGCAACAGAGAAACTCCAATGTGGACAGCTACACTGAATCGTTTCTCAGTCACAACGTGACGCATTCATGGATCATCCCTTGTATATGATCCTTTTTATGCCAAGCACATCAAATATGGGCTTTTGAAGGTAATGTTTTGTTTAGTAGTGATTATTAAACTTCCTGTGGGGAAATGTGATAGATATGAAAAATACAATTACTGAATAAGACAAAATACTGTGGGGCTAAATGAAGCGATTTGGGAAAAATTCAAGAACCATACGATGTGCTTTTCTTTCTTTATGACAATAAATTAGTCCCTCTGTTCTAAAATATTTTTACTTATTTTCATTAGTTATTCGATAAAATACTAGTCTTGTCACCTCAAATTTTGTAGAATTTTTCACGTAGTTTTTGAATATATATAAATTTTATTTTTTAATTTTACACCTACAATCAAATAAATTGAATTGAAATAAAAAATCGATCAAACCTCGTAAATAGAAAAGGAAGAACGTTTTAGGACGGAAAGAGTAAGAAAAGCCACCTCTTTTATCATTTCAGAATAAGCTCCAAACTTTTCCTAGATTTTCATATGGTAAAACTTGATATGGTAAAAAGCAAAAAGAGAAATCTTCTAAATTCCCAGCTTTTCCCCACCCTATCTATCTTTCATCTTTCAATTTTGTGGTTCACATTCTTCTTTATTTATCTTAGTTTTTAACATGAATATCAACCACAAAATCTTACTATTCATAATTTCTGTGCCAGTGACTCTTGTGCCAAATGACTCATGTCCCAAAAATAGTGGGGCAAATGGAGTAACTAAAAGACCATTTTATTCTTACCTTGCGTTATACGCTTTTTTTTTACCTCTCTCTTCAATTTATTACAGCCCCTAAGCAAAAATAAAAAAATCAAGCATTTTTCATTGTTCATTAAACGTATCAAGTCAAAATGAGAAGAAACACATGTGATTGAGGGAAGAGTATATGTGTGCAATGATTCAATGAAAGTAGAAAGCCCAATAAGAATCAACCAGACATTCCCATCACCACCAAGAACCAAGTAAGCAAAAAAGTGGGAATGTCTCTTACCTTTATCCTCTTCCTCTTAAGCTTGGCAATGGCTGCAGCCATGGAGCTCCGACCAGGCTACTACTCCAAGACATGCCCAAAAGCAGAGAATATTGTCAGGAATGTTATAGCCAAGAATATGGCAAGAGATTCCAGAAGCACTGCCTCAGTCATGCGCCTGCAGTTCCACGATTGCTTTGTTAATGTAATGCTCCCATGTTCCATTAAAAGAGTCTTATTTCAAAATTTAATTCTGTTTTTAAAATTAGATTCTGGTTCTTTTGACACCAAAGGCTGGTCTGCTGGTGTAATAATCTGATATCGAGTCCATTTGAGAACCCCGTGGTATACCGTTGGATCCCGAAATAGTTCCTGCCCTTAATTTCCTTCATTCCAAGCTCTCCCCCTGCTCCGACCCCAGCTCCACCTCCATTTCGATGACAATCAATTGTCAAAAAATTGATAGTAGATTGTCACCCAGATGGGGGTGGGGCTAGGGTGGAGGGCAGGCTGGGGGTGGAGGGTTTGTGTGAGAATTAGGTGATAAGAACCACTTCGACATCGAACAAAGTGCTGTAAGGCATTCAAATAGACTTGGTGTCATAATATGGCACCGGGTTGGGTGTCAAAAGAACCTCAGAATTAAAGAATGACCGATATGAATAAAAGAAGCCAATTTTCATCATATTTACTAAGTTAAATATTTGATGGTTTCTAATGGGTCTAATTAACATCACAGAAGTCCCCTTTTTTCTCAGGTTTTACCTCATTTCTCTTTGATGGTTAAAATTTCAGGGGTGTGATGCTTCTCTGTTGTTGGATGACACTCCAAGCATGCTTGGAGAGAAACTTTCGTTGTCCAATATAAACTCGCTAAGGTCGTACGAGGTTATTGATGAAGCTAAAGAAGAAGTTGAGAGAGTCTGTCCGGGAATTGTTTCTTGTGCTGACATCTTGATCATGGCTGCAAGAGATGCTACTGTCCTGGTAATCTGTTCTTACCCGGTGAACTTTATTTTGTTTCCTAAAGGCCAAAAGCATTCTGTCGTAAAGACTTTAATTCACCAAAGTTATGACGTAGATAATGAATATGAATTAGATCGTAAAGACGTAGATGAAGCATTATAATGTCATTTGTATGTCAATCTCTTCTCCATACAAGGGGAAGGAGAAGGAATATTTACAGGGAACAAGAAACCATCCAACTCAACCTGGGAAGACATGGGATCATGCTCCTTAATCACAAGAGATCATGGGGGGTGTGTGGGAGATCATGAAGATCACATTGTCTCATAACCCTAGTGCCTACCTTAGCGTGCCACTTGGCAAACTTGAACCTCACTTCTGGGTCTAAACCCATTTCACGTGGGATTCACCCTCTTACCAAAAGTGTGAGCCTTGGTGGTCTATGCTTAATTACAAATTATACAATTGAACATGGAGTGAACCTCACTGGTCTATTCTTTTATACTCCATCCGTCCCTAAATTATCGTCCTTTCCCAAATCCAGTTTTCTACCATATATTCCATTGGAAAAAGATATTCCAACTCCCAAACTCCATTCTTCATCTGAGTTGGAAGATGGCGGTGGGTAGGTGGCAGTGGTAGAGGTGGAGGAAATGGGGTGGCAGTGGGTAATTTAAGCATGTTTGGAAAAACGGCATTCGGAATAGTGTATAGAAAATTTAAAAAAAACAGTTCAATTAAACATGTTTTTCTTTTTTCTTATATATTCTGTTTTCCATTTTCCTAGAAAGTAAAATAATTTCCAAGTTTCTAAATGTGAAACATGCTCCTTAATCTTCCAAATACACGAGAGAAAAAACCACTAAGAATCTTTTTCCTTCTTAACACAGAGTGGAGGGCCAAAGTGGAATGTGAAGTTAGGAAGGCTAGACAGCTTAACAGCAAGCCAACAAGATTCAGATAGAATCATGCCAAGCCCAAGGGCAAACTCAACTTACCTCATTGATCTCTTCAGCAGATTCAATCTCTCTGTGAAAGATCTAGTGGCACTTTCAGGTTCTCATTCCATTGGTAAGGGAAGATGCTTCTCTATAGTTTTCCGGCTATACAACCAATCAGGTTCAGGCAAGCCTGACCCAACCATGGAACCAAAATTTAGAGCTAATTTACATAAGCTATGCCCACTTGGAGGTGATGGGAACGTAACAGGAGACTTAGATGCAACAGGAGTGATATTTGACAACCAATATTTTAAGGACTTGGTCCTTGGGAGAGGATTTCTGAACTCAGACCAGACCCTCTTCACCTTCCCACAAACCAGGGGTTACGTGAGGCAATTTAGTGAAGACCAAAATGAGTTCTTCAAGGCATTCGTTGAAGGGATGATAAAAATGGGCGACCTGCAATCAGGCCGTCCTGGAGAGATCAGAAGAAACTGCAGGGTGTTAAATAGCCATCCGACGGTAAAAGTGTTTGAATCATCCTGAAACAAACTCTCCATCAGCTCAGTTGCTAACTGAGTTGGATAGTTATCACTTATCAGACTTATCACCTAAAGACTCCAAATATCTTTGTAATTAAGGTTTGTGCAAACCAGTACTAGTAGTTTCTACAGCTCCCTACTGTTACTTATGACCTTATCTTATTTGGATGTTTTTCTTCACCTTCTTACTAGATATACAATACATGTTCAAAGCTTCTGTAAATACTCCCTCCATCTCATAACATAAATCACATTGCATATCTGGTGTTGCAGAATTAAGGTCGCATTTCCATTTTGGGTTTAACTGACAGACTACATATATAATATAATACCTCTAATTTTTTCAATCACTTTTTTCTACCCACCGCCATTTTATATCCCACCATCGTACCATTCCAGTGGTAGACTTGGAAGATCAAAGGACTTCTATAAATTCCCTTAATAGTGTGAAGTACATAAGTATTTGACTTTAGTTATGGGACAGAGGGAGTATTAAGGAAGATACATGACCTCCTCAATTATGCACCAATTTAATACTGCAAGTTTGAAGAGAACATTTTGCAATTTTGGCAAAGCAACTCTCCAAATATGCACCAATTTAGTACTCCAAGTTTGGAGAGTCAATATATTGTGAGAATTCACCGTTAGACATAATCTTCTTGGCTCCAACTTCAACGTATATGGTATTACATGGCTGGGAATCGACCCCACTCAAAGGGAAGGGATATGTCAACCACCTGAGATTAAGGGTGATAACAAGGAGACAAAATTGCGTGATCCAGTCGTCTAAAAAGCACTAAATAGGTGGCGGGCTCGGGCCTAGTGCATAGCGCCATAGGTGGGGGCCGTGGGGGCCTAGTGCCTAGGAAGAGTTTTAAATAACAAAGCTATTTTCACATAAGCATCTCATCCTGTTTTTAAAGACAGTGAGATTAAATCACACAATAAGTGTAATGTAATCATCTAACAATTTTAGAAGTGTTCTATAATGATGCATGCTTGAATGAATAATACCTGGTTTAAGTCCCACATGGCCATGGCCTTCATGGGGAAATTCACCTACCACTTGCCCGCTCATGTTTCTTCACTGTGCAAACAATCACATTGACCTTGTCTGCCTCAAAATCTTTGCAAAATGATTAAATAAAGCCATCCTCTTGTACACATTCAACATGCTTAAGTTGGCCACCTAATCCATCTAGTATAGAGTAAATTTCTTGGGAAGCGGGATGAGAGTAACCACAGGCAGAAAATTGATGAACTGTCTTTTCCAATTCAATCCAACTTGATCCCGGAAACTCCTTTTCAACTCCAGATGCTTTCAAATCTTCTCTTATCCTGGAAACTTCACCCCATGTGTTTCCTTCAGCATACATATTAAGTAAAAGGGTGTAATTTCCAGCATTATTTGGCTCCAAGATGGCCAGATTGTCTAGGGAAATTTGGGCAATTTCAAAGTTTTTATGAATCCTGCAACCAGCCAGTAAAGCACCCCATATAACAGCATTTGGTTCCATTTCCATTCTTCTTATTACTTCTAATGCCTCCTCTAGCAAACCAGCCTTACATAACAGATCCACCATGCAACCATAGTGTTCCATTTGAGGAAGAATTTGGTAGCGACATATCATGTCAAAGAACCTCCTTCGACCCTCTTCAACCATTCCTGCATGACAACAAGCTGAGAGAACACTCACAAAGGTAACGCCATTTGGCCTTATATTTTCTTTCTCCATCCTATCGAACATTGCCAATGCTTCGACTGCATAGCCATGGAATGCAAGCCCATCAATCACTGAATTCCAACAGAAAAGATTCTTCTCCTGCAGCTTGAAGAACACCACAAGTGACTTCTCCAAGCTCCCACACTTTGCATACATGTCAACCAGTGCAGACCCAATATAAACGTCAAGATCAAACCCTTTTTGCATCACGTATATATGCAATTCCTTCCCATGATCCAGAAATCCAACATGGGCAGAAGCAGAAATAATTGCTGTCATGGTCACTTCATCAGGCGTAACCCCATGCTTTTTCATATCTTCAAAAACTTGTAAAGATTTCCTGTGCATCTTGTTTTGGCTATAACACTTGATCATTGTAGTCCATGAAATCAAATCCTTCTCCGGCATCTCATTGAACAACAGATCAGCAGATTCCACATTCCCAACACTAGCATAGCCGTGAATCATGGCGTTCCAAGAAGCAGTGGCTTTCTCAGGCATTCTATCAAACACCTCCCTGGCAGAACTCACGTCTCCCTCACGCACAAGGGCCGAAACCATCGCACTCCAAGAAACACCATCTTTCCTGCTTTCAGGAATTTCCTCAAACACTAACCTGGACTCAAACACCTTGCCGAGATTCGAATAGAAATCCACCAAACAAGTCAACACATGAACATGAGAACCAAACCCGTATTTCCAAACCTGGCCATGAACCGATTCCCCACCCTTCAAATCACAGAGCAAAGTACAACTCTTAACAATAGACGAGAATGCATAGCTGTTAGGGCTAAATCCACCCGCCCGCATCTCAGCGTACAGATCTGAACCTCCAAGCGGCCGGTTCCAATGAACAAACGCCCGCATCAACGCCGTATAAGCAAACACAGTCGGATTTACCATTTCCGAAAATACCCTAGTAGCGAAATCGATGTCATAAACAGCAGACTCATTGATTAATCTGTTCATCACGAAACAATCTGCGGCTAAACCTCCTTTGGTGATTAATCCGTATAAGGATTCGAACTGCTCGGAGTTTGAGAATTTCTTTACCAGATCCGGAACAGGAACTGGCCCGTTCTTGTGCAGTGTGAAACCTGAAAATCGGCCGGCTTTGATAACCGATTCGTACAGGGATTGAAGCTGCTGGAAACTTGAAGATTTCTTCAGCAGCTTAGCAATGGAGACGGGTTGTTGGTTCTGTTGCACTATCAGACTTCCGACTGAGATGGCGGCCCTTCCCATTTGCGAAGCTTCACCCGCCACTTTCTCCATCCAAATGGAGGGGAATTTTCAAGTTTATCAACGGCATTTTTTTAAAATAAAAAATTAACAAGAAAATAATAATCACAATTGAGATAATCTTTCTGCTGCTTTTTTACCTTTTTGAGCATGGTAGCAAGAGGTACGACATCTTAACTTATATGGAATAACAAAAAAGTATTTCATCTTTAAAAAATACGGAGTATAACAAAAAAATACTTCTTGTCGGAATTTTAATAATCCGACCAGTGAATGCACGTATAGTGTTCTATTAATTTTTTGATGAACATTTAGCATTCTATATGACTTCCAAATTAACTTCTAATTCATCAATTGATTAAATTTCTATTTGACACATGTAAAACAAACTTTTTAAAAAAATTACACTTTATTTTATTTAAAATTGAATTTTTCTTCTTGTAATGAAAGTATATTTTACGGAGTATGTTTTAATTTTTTTTAACCTCATGCTTTCTATAAGATTTTTATTTTAATTTTAGCACTTTAAAAAATTGTTAATTTACAACATACGTTTTTAAACATACGTAGCAATAACATTTTAATAATTGTGTATAATATACTTTTAAAGATTTATTGCAAATTTTTTAAAATTTAAATTTGAAAAAATACATATTACTATTTTTATTGTTATGATTACTACTACGACTATAATCATCATTATTATCAAGCATTATTGATACATGTGATGAGTTTTTTAAAGTTATCTAATTATTTTTTTGGAAGAGGTGTTCATGCAACTTCATGTTTGTTTATCTACTTAAATTCTACTTTTAAACGATTGTAAATACTTTAAAATTTAAATAAATAAGAAATTTTACCCTTTAAATTACAATAAAGACAATTATTTAAAAAGTAGTCACTAGTTTGGCTTAAAATATTTTCTAAAAATTAAAACATGATACAATATAAATAAAACATAATTTTTTTAAAAAAAAGTAAAACTTGATTTTATAATCCGTATGTGTCAAGTACAAAGTTAATCACGCATAAGAGAAGTTACAAGTTATTATAGAAGTCATATGGAATGTCACATGTACACTACGAAGCCAAATCAAAGCCCACATGTGCACTCACCGACCGGATTTTCAAAATTTCGACAATGGATATTCTTTTGTTACATTTTTTAAGATGAAGTATTTTTGTTACAAGTTGAGGATGGAGATAATAATTCGGACGGAGTGAGTAGTTACTTAAATTATTTTTATACCCATATAATTATAAATTAGTATAAAAATAAAAAGTATAGAGTATATTTTTTCATGAAAAAATAAAAAACAAAAACTGACTTAATTATATGATTTTATCAAATGATCAATAATATATTTTATAAAAAAATACAATTCTACCATTAAAATAATAATTATGTCTTTATTTTTAGAAAAAATACTTTAGGATACCTTTGACTGTTTGGTAAGAACTCTCAAATCTCATTATCCAAAATATACTTTGCGACACTCTTGATTTTCTAGAAAAAACTCTCAAGTCTCACATTATCTAAAATATACTACGAAATTCTTCAAATTTATGAAGTTTTACCCAAGGGTAAATTCGTTGATTGCGATGTTAGGATATAAAGTTTTGTTACTTTTAGAAATTGAAGGACTTTATTTAAATTTAATAAAATAATGATCATAAATGTAAATTTTACTTCGTAGTATTTAACAAAGTACCAGAACTTTCAATACTAACGGGCAAAGAGATGGAATGTGTCCTTGAAATACATTACCATAAATTTTAAAGACTCACGGAGTATATATTTCAAATAATGTGTTATCAAAAAAAATCTCTAGAGCAATCTTTTGTAATTTTAAAACTAAAAATAATGATTGTAAATGTAAAATTTAGTATTTGTTAAAGTATGGAACTTACAACACTAACGGTCAAAATTTCAAGACGAAAAGTGCTCTTGGAATACATTACTATAAATTTTAAGGACTATAAATTTTAGATAATGTGAGGTATCATCAAAAAATGAATAAATTCCGAGAGTAATTTTGTAATTTTAAAACTAAAAATTACTTTAAAGTTATAAATTTAGTATTTGTCAAAGTATCAGAACTTTCAATGCTAACGGCCAAAGAGATGGAATGTGTCCTTGAAATACATTACTATAAATTTTAAGAACTTGCGGAATACATATTTCAAAATTTCAAGATGAAAAGTGCTATTGGATTCCAATACTATAAATTTTAAGGACTATAAATTTCAGATAATGTGAGATCTCATTAAAAAATGAATAAATTCCAAGAGTAATTTTGCAATTTTAAAACTAATCAAAACATCCGACCTGCCGGATTCGAACCAGCGACCTAAGGATTGGCTGTCAGGTTAAACGCCTACTACAGTCCTCCGCTCTACAAACTGAGCTAAGGTCGGTTATTGATGTCATTTGTTTTTAATTAGTTAATAGCTATAATCTTCTATCTAACCTGGATTTAGCAAAGAAGTAAAATATGGGGTGAGAGAGGCTCGAACTCTCGACCTCAGGATTTCTCTTTAAGCTATGAGACCTACGCGCTAGCCAACTGCGCCACCACCCCTATGTTTTGAAAAAGTGGTTGGTTTTTAAATACTTCCTCCGTCCCAGAAAGAATGCCACGTTTACTATTCTGGCCTCTCGATAATTTTTGTTTGTTTACTTGTTTTGGTTGACCATTTGATAAAATAAAATATTCTTGTCGCATCTTGTTTTGTAGAGCTTTTCATATGCTTTTAAATGGTGTAATTTTTACTTTTTATTACTCTACCAATTTAAAATTAAAGTGATTTTAAAATAGATGATATTTTGCACGTCGTTCGAAGTGTTGCAAATAAATTGGGACGGAGGGAGTAGTTTAATTTCTATACACAAATTATACTCCGTTGCTAAACTACCTCTCTTTTTGCTAAATTCACACCTTTTGAATTCAATGCAGAACTTTGTAAACGTATGGTAAATTTTGTGTATTCCAATGACATCACTCATTATATATACAAAGTATACAAGTCACATACCCAACTCTAAAAGGGTCAAGACATAGATAAACTACGATAAATACAATGCCCTCTAACAAATATTGATAAAAATCTAAAATCATCCACCAAAAATAAAAAAAAAGAGATTTCAGTACACGTAATTAAACCAAAATACTTTTTAAATGAAATGCAGTATGTCCTATGTATTCAACTTAAATTTCAATAATGATACTTTGTGACCATTCACATTTTAGATATGATTCTGCAATCCATTATACTACCCGCCAAGTAGGGGAGGGCACTTGTCAGGTTCGGGGCCGACCCACACTGCATTGCATAACCTAATCGGATTTTGAGTTGTTTGAAATATCTTTTGTGTTTCGATCCATTTATGGTCAGCTTGGACACGGGTTCAAGTCGTTCGGGTCACGGTTTTGACTCGCCAGATTCGATTCCAATCAGATTCCAATATACAACTTCACCAGCATTTGCACAGTTCCAATATCCAAATTCATCGACATAATTTCTTAAAATCCTAAGATAAAACAAAATATCAAAATAGATTTAAAACAAAAAATACTAAAAAATCAATAAACATAACACAAATCTTAAAAATACTATAATAAGGACAAATACTTAACAGATTTTTGAATATTATTTCTATGAAACGCACACGTTATGTCTTATGTATTCAATTTACAATAGGTATACTTTGTGACAATTGACATTTTACACATAATTCTACATTCCATTATACAAATGGCCAACTCGTCAAGTTAGAATTATATTCTTTCTTGTTCTTATATATTCTTGATTTTCTCATCCACACTTCATTATGAAACCATAACACACATCTTTAAAAACATTAAACTAAATAGATATTCATACTTTTTAAAATTTACAATAATTTGGCATTTTTTCGAACACAAATTATAACAAAGATTACTATGTACACTATAGTATTGAACGTAACAAGCACATACATACATTGGGCATACTCATGGTTAGCAAAACACTATAGTACTCCTTAATATCATACAAAAACATCATAACATCTTATGTTACAACAATGCACTATATATTTATGAGAGGTTATCTGACAACTTTTTTTATACAACAAATTATATTATGACACCGAGATCCTACGGTGTCATAATATGACACCCAAGGCAGGTGTCCAAAAATCTTTGTTCTATCGATGGGATTCTAGTGACACCAGAATACGGTACCACTAGCGGTGCCACTGCATTTTTGAAGCACTTCCGGTGCTCCGTTCATAAAATTAACAGGTTTTACCCCCCTAAACCTCTCACCCTACCCCCACCCCAACCTCGCTGTAAGCCCCCCACAAAATGTGTGGCTATTATGCAACGCATAATAGCCACACATTCTGTGGGGGGCTTACGGCGGGGTTGGGGTGGGAATGGGGTGGGGCTTTAGGGGGTAAGAACCATCAATTTTACGAATGGAGCACCGAAAATGTCCCAAAATGACAGTTACACTGGAGTGTCACCGTACTCTGGTGTCACTATAAACAGGCCTAGTCGTGGAGTGGGGAGTGTGGTGGGACCGACGCCGGTGAAGGTGATGGCAGCGGGGAAGGCTCTTTCCTGCTGAAACTCTTTCTCAATAAAAGGTCACCAACTCTACGAAACAATGCCCTTTTCCTTCTATGCAAAATTCTCTCGCTATCAGAATCATCCATTTGGATATGGTGTTGAAAGAAATCTCCATTGTTGTTTCCTGCATCTTCTGCACTCGGCGACCCCTCCGCGTCCGTGAACGCGGTGGACTTGCGCCGGTGGTGCGCGGCACGCCGTTGCGGGGTCCGCGGCTCGGACTTGGGCGAGAACGGCGTGTCGAATATCGACCCCTTGAGCGCCTCGAGCTTCTCGGGGTCCTCGTCGTGCTCGACCCTGGACCCCGATGAGTCGTCGTCCAGCTCGCTCAGGTCAAAGCTGAACTTTTTTGCGTCTAACTGGTTGACCACTTCCAGATGAATCTGGTCTTCGTCGTCGTCCTCGTCCTCGTCCTCTTCGTGCGGCGGGCCCCCGTTTCCCTCGGCTTTCAGCTCCCGGGAGACGTACGAGAGCATCAGCTTGAACTGCTTGACGTTCTCGTTCGCCGCGGCCTCGTTGATCCTGAGGCGCTCGTTTTCCCGGGAGAGGAAATGCACGGACTCCTCCTTTTCGGACAAGAGGTCTTTCAGCTGGGAGTTCTCGGCGCGCGCGATATCCGCGGCGGATTTCGCCACGTTGGCTTCGTTCAACGCTTGTTTGAGGATGTCCCTTAACTTGTAGGACTCTTCCCTAGCCACCCTTAAGGCCTCGGCTAGCTTCGTCGCTTCGTGTTGGGCAATCGCCCTCTCTTCCTCGGCTCTCTTGATGCACGTCACGAACCCCATCTCCTTCCCGTTCCAAGCGAAAATCGACTCCTCGGCCTCTACCCGCAACCTCTCCACCGTGTTCCTCTGCGTCTCGGTTTCTCTCTCCGCGTCTTCTAGAAGCTTCTTGTACCTCTCCTCAGTGCTCCTAACCATCAGTTTGAGCTTTTGGTTCTCTTCGTTCGCTTGGTCAAGTTCTGACTGAGTCACACCGAGCCTGGCCTTGGCTTCGGCTGACTCGGTCGCGACTTCCTTCAATGCCAAGGCCAAATCATCCATGGCCTTTTTGCTCTTCTCCTCTGCCTCCATAGCCAACTTTAGCTCATTTTTGAGTGAGTTTAGTTCTTCTATTAAAATGTTGACTTTCAAGAGTGCAGCTTCTTCACTTTCTTGGGAAACAGAGAGTCTCTTCTTTAGCATTTCAACCCCAGAATCCATCTGTTTATCTTCCTCCTGCTCCCCAATTTTATGTTGCTGCATCACTCTAGATTTGGATATATCTTAATCTGCACCAATTCAAAAGTTAAATCTCAAATAGAAGAAAATTTATTTTATTATTTTTCCCAATCTTCAAAGTAACCTTGTTGATTACTTTCAAGATTGCATATCCTTGTTGATTACTTCCAAAGTATGAATGCATAGAGATCTTTTTTCTTTTTGAAATTAAAGAAGCCATGTATATTTATTTTTACAATTTATTTACCTTAATTTTGATAGTGTAATAATGTACAATATGGAGTAATAATATATTGGGTGTTGCTAAATTCATCCCGTTTTGGCTAAATTCATTCCATTTATGATGAATGGACAATTTTGACCTTAAAAATAAGAAAGATGAGGTTTAGAATTTGTAAGGAGAAAATTGTCTATTTATCATGAAAATGGTGGATTTAGCCCACACCCATATATATATGGGCCAGTTCGTGTGAGAATGAATCTTGTGGAGAGAAATGAGAACGGTGCATTGTTTTTCGCCCATGGTGCGTTTTACAAAGTTCAATTAAATTATGAAACTGGCACCGTGTTTTTTTTCGTATTTTTCAAATTTGTATGGCCATTAGATATCACATTCTAAAGCATCACCACATGTATTCTTATTTCTCTCCTAAGATATCATTCTGAGCAAGACCAAAATCTGCGTGTGTGTTACATACCGGCAATGAAAGAAAAATGAAAATCTTTCTAAAGATGATGGAACTTGATTCAGGATTTGTATCCCTTAAAGCTTAGATTGGAATTGCAGATAGAATTTCTGCAAAAGATGGAGGAACCCCTTCTCTCTGTCGAAAATCAATCGACAAAGATTTGGACTCCCTCAAAGATCACACAAGATTGAATTGCAGAGCACACAACCTTTATTATCTTTAAAAAAAAATAAGTTGAATAAAAAGAAAATGGAGAGATATGAATGGAGATATTTATTGAAGAAGAAAGGGAAAAGGGTGGAAATGGAGGGACCATTGTGGTTTTATTGGTGAGAAATGTGTGAGAAAGAGGATGTTAGTTAAGGACTTGTGGTCTGGATTTGAGAAAACTCAAACGTTAAATGTTGCTACAATGCATGCCCACCAACTTAAGGACTAATGGTTAGAAATATTTTATAATTATTCATTAACTTTGTATTAAGAGTTGATCCACTAAGATACCCAAAGAGAGTTAAAAACTAGTTACAACGTTTTGAAAAAACTATCCAAGTACGGTATTTAGTTGTTAAATTGTTTTCCCAAATATTAGTACTACTTGCAGTTCTAGTCAAAGAAACACACATAATTAAAAAACCGTTTAGTGCAATTTCACAGATAATAACTCAGACCACATGATAAAAAAAACGTTATCTATAATGTTTTGTAGAGACAATTTTAAAATAATTAGTCCTATGCTTCTTAAAAGAATTTGATCTATACTTTAAAAATCAAAGGTAAATTTATAAAAATCAATGTGGTTTTTTGAGAAAAATTTTCTTGGTTTTGATATGCACTGTATAATACAACCTCCGTCTCAGAGTATTTGTCCACTTTCATTTTTACACACCATCCAATGCACTTCTTTAATCCATTTTATCTTGTAATTTGAATATTAAAAAATTATAGAAATTATATATTAATAATCTATATGTTAAGACAAATCAAACAAGATCACACATGACTATATTTAGGTTTACACGTTGAGAGAATTTGATGAGTCAAAGTGCTTAGATGAACAGTTCCAAAAGTCAAAATTAGACGAATACTCCGGGACGGAGGGAGTAGTTTACTTCAGGAGTAGTGTTATTTGTATCTCAAGAATTTATATCTCATTTTGTACATCACAAGGATCACCGACACTTTGTATTGGTATAATGCTATTTTTGTTAGGGCAAAGTTCCCATGACATTGGGAACCAATGTAATGGGATGACCCGGGAGCGCTCCGTTGCCCCGTTCGTAAAATTGAAATTGACAGTTCCTACCCTCCCGATAAACCCCCCACTCCCGCCCCGACCCGAACACACCCCACAATGTCATGGGAACTTTGGTGTTTTTGTTAATATACTAACACTTTGTGTTAGTGTGATCCATCAAAATATTAGTGCATATTTTTCGTGTACAAGTAGGTATAAATTTTAAGGTACATGTAGCCATCAATTCTCACCAACCAAAATGTACACCTCCAAAATAAATTCCCCTATTCAATTATTTTCATATTAAATTTAGATAGTGTAGGACAACTATCATTTCATTTCAATTCATACATTTCAATTTCAAAATTTAAAATCCTAAATTTCAAATGACAAAGAGAGATACATGAATTTCAAATTAAACATTATTTTAAATGTAAGTAAAGAATTTGATTCAAATCCAAATTTAAAATACTTAAGTTTTCCAAACATGAAATTTAAGCAAAATCCAGATTTGAAATCCATATTCATGTTCCTAAACATACCATTAAATTATTAAGATTGCTGGTTACCTTGTGCCAGATATAACTATACTCTCAATTTGTTCCTTAACAACTTCAAAGTCACTATTCACAAAATGTAACTATATACTCTTCACAACTCATTTAATTTAAACATCTGGGTTAAAAAAAGGTGGCCACATGTTCCAAAACACTTCATTCGAAATTTTCCTTTTGAACAAAAATTAGAAACACCGACGATTTCAAATTGAAAAGAGCAAACACCTCAGTTAGATGAAAACTTGAATGGGAGAAGGATTCTACTATGTAAAATTGCACTCCACCAAAAAAGAGTAAATTTTAGCTGTGTGCCAGTAATCAAACACATGGGAGTGCATTTACAAACAAGATAACATTGAACATTGTTTAACACCAGAGGTGTGACCCCGGAAACATTAGACACTTGAGTCGACAAACGAAATAATATCCTTGACACCAACACTTTAACACCACTAAAGGAAATATTAGGTACTAGTGAACTACACGCGAGACAACAAGTAGATGGCAAAACACAGAACAGTTATAGGGCGAAGAGATACAACGGTATGATCCTTGTATCTAAGCACGTTCTCCCCTGATCCTCCGGGCAAGCTGGATGTCCTTGGGCATTATGGTCACACGCTTGGCATGGATGGCACAAAGGTTGGTGTCCTCGAAGAGACCAACAAGGTAAGCTTCAGCAGCCTCCTGGAGTGCAAGAACAGCATGACTCTGGAAACGCAGATCAGTCTGCAACACAAAGAAAGATTTAAATATCAGGCACTTCTCTTGATTGAACAATGGAGGGTGAATTGTTGTGACAAACACTTCATTCTACCCACTTTGGGTGTTTGAGATTTCATCTTCAATATGATGCAAGTTTTGATAAAAACTGAAGAGATAATCCAACTGAAAACATCCTAGGCAAATTTGATCACGAATTGAGGAGTTTTATTACCTTGAAATCTTGAGCGATCTCCCTGACAAGCCTCTGGAAGGGGAGCTTCCTGATCAGAAGTTCAGTACTCTTCTGGTACTTGCGGATTTCCCTAGACATTTGAACATCTTAAGTACACCAATGAAAAACAAAGCAAAACTCTATCACAGAATAACATTATTATCTGCAAATTGAACTCACCGAAGAGCAACAGTACCAGGGCGGTATCTGTGGGGTTTTTTCACCCCACCAGTAGTTGGTGCAGACTTCCTAGCAGCCTGCAAACACAAATTTTTTATGCGAAACCTCAAAATTCTTAACATGAATAATAGTAATTTCGTAAATATTCAATTTCACTTTAAACTGAACAAAAAAAGACTTGAAGACACAGACCTTGGTTGCAAGTTGCTTCCTAGGAGCCTTTCCTCCAGTGGATTTACGAGCAGTCTGTTTAGTACGAGCCATCTAAACATCCAGTAGACGAAAATTATTCAACTAGATCAAATATTCAAGAATAATTACTCAAAAAATTAAAAAATCTCATATAATGTTACATCTTCAAAATCAATACATCATCGAACTACATTAAACAGATATCCCTCCCTAATCAATTTCGAGTCAGATTCATCAGCATAACACGCATTTAATTGCAGACGAAAGCTAATAATGCTTGACGCACTAAAAACGTTAAATCGAGATGCAACGCGAAACGATTATCAAAAACAAGCATACAGCGGAACAAATTCAAATCAGTAATCGCAATTCATATCAATACTCTCATGATTCGAAACAAAAACGCAAGAAAGATCCAATCGGATTAAGAATCAAAGCCAAATCGTAGGAGAGAAGCGGATTAGGGTTCGAGAAACTCACCTCCAACGAAATCTCAGCAAATTGCGGCTTGCTTCAGTCGATAAAATGCGAAAGTTCAAATCTATGAGAGATCGGAGGGTATTTATAGGGCATAAGATGCGGCGATTGATGGACATGGACGGTCCAGATTGGATATCCGTGTGCTTTCAAAAGGAATAATCCTACGGTTGTTAAAGAGGCATTTTGTGCTTTTTCCGTGGTAATGAACGGCTAGGATTTGAAGTTGCCTTCTCGTGTCGGATCGGTAGGCTTCCGTTCTCGAATCCTATTGGCTGGAAATGTTAATTCAAAGATTAACCAACTAAGCTTTTTTTTTTTAATTAGTAATTTGGTGCTCCGTACTTATTTTCTTTGTCCGTTAAAATTGACTTAATGACTTTATCTGCCATAGATAGTTACTCCGTAGATACTACTCGGTACTTTCTTTGGTCAATTTAGAATTTACATAAGACAAGGAATATAAATATGGTTTAAACTTAGCCCCGTTATTTTTGCAGCGTCGAATTTTTGTCGCAAATTGTAGGCCGAAATTCGGTCATTAGAGCCCCCCACTCTACCCATTTCTCGTTATCGCACCGTGCACTTTTTTTATTTAATTAATATAATTTTTTTATTAATAAATGTAATTTTTTTAATTAATAAATGTAATTTTTTTAAATGAATGAATGTAATTTTTTAAATTAGTGAATGTATTTATTGTTCATGAATGTAATTTTTTTAAT